TAATTTTTTAGGTCTTGCCAAGAAGTTATTTTACAGTTCTTTTCCTTTTTGTTAAATGATGTTATGCCATATTTCTAGGGGGCATAGTAAGTTTATGAGGGAGCCACCCAAACCTAACTGGCAGGCATATGATCAGTTTGTCATAATCCTTACATCTCATTCTCTGTGCTAATTTCAACACCATAAATATTGACAATTACCACAGTTTACAATATATGATACAGTTTAGATTAACAGTGCAGATGATAAAGTACAGGTAGTCCTTAAGTTATGATGGCAATTGGGACCAGAATTTCCATTGCTAAGCAATGCAGTCATAAAGCACAACATCACATAACCACATCACTTAGCAATGGAAATCTGGCAGTTCCTGTTGCCATCGTTAACTGAATTTCACCAATTGTTAGCTGAGGACCCACCCTGATCAAAGCCATTCTTGGCTTGGTCCCTCCCAGTCCCAAGTCTCAATAAAATAAAGGATTGCCTTTAAACCCTCTGAACAATAGTCCATAGTTTTATTATCCAACAATATTTTTGATTGTTGCAGCTCATGATTTGAAAGCCCCTACAATATTTCAATTTGCTAGATAATTTCAAAACCGAAGATTGAGAACGATGTTTTACATGCATAAACAGCATGCTTGGATAAGGTGAAACAAGGTTGTACTACTTTTGGAGATGTATTTCTCTAGCATTCTGCTTTGACCCTGAGCTGTGGTCTATGTGAGCTCTCTCCTGTACTGGACTCTTGTTTATCACAGTATATAGTGAATTCAGTAAGAAGGAGCAGAGGTGTATATTCCATTCACTGTAATACAGTTCTTATTACAGCAATAAAAGCATTCAAAGGCAACAAGCAAAATACCAGATTAAAATACCAGAACTAGTTGATGAAGGAAGGCTTTAAAATAAAAGTTACTGAAACATGGAGCATTTTCAAAGATTAGTGGGAAAAGTACCTTAAATCTAAAAAAAATATGCTTAATTTTTTTCTACATGAATGTTGCATAAATTAAAAAAAACCCTCTTGTCTTGCTAGTGTAAATTGGATGAATACCTTGTTAAATTTTCTCTTTATTTTTTATTTTTTATTTATTATGTTATATTTTGGGTAGGACAACCCCCCCCCAAAAAGAGCAGAAAAAAGATAAAAGAGGAGAGAGAGAGAGAGAGAGAGAGAGAGAGAGAGATTTACAAGCTGCATAAAATTAAATAAAAACTTAGGAAGTAACTTTAAATTAATAATAAGTCTAATGCTGATCTTCTATCCATTTAGCATGTCAATTATTTTTTACATTGATGCACACTCCCACAATTTCATTCTTCTAATAAGAAGCTTAAAGTATCCTGGCAACTGTTGCTTATGGTCTTTTAATTAGTATACCTGTGATTTACTAGTTAGTCTGTCTCTAGCTATTTTCCTTCTCTCTTGGGGTCTAAAAATGCTGAGACCTCTTTGGAGAAAAAATACCTCTTTTTCTAAAATTTGATTTTCTCTAAGAACTTGTCTGTCCAAACTGTCTTTGCCCATCTTTTTTGCTCCTGGCAACTGAGCATTCCAACATGGCTATCCTGTGACAAAGACTAGCTAAAGTCCTTCCTCCTGTGCTATGCTAGTTTTGTATACATTGGAAAATATATGTGGAAAGTCTTTAAATGCTTAATAATATATCTAATGTAATATAGTTGGTCAACAAAAATGGAATTACTGGATGTGTTGCTTCCCTTTAAATCCAGAGCAGAGACAAAGTTCAAAGAAAACGGTGGAAGAGAGAAAAGTGTTTCTTCTTAAATGTAAAAATCTGCATGGAAATACTCTGTGTATGTTATCTCTGCTCAAACAAGCCAGTGGATCAGTTAAATTAGGTGTTTATGTCATGCATTCACCTTTGTTTATTTAAAAGCTAATTTTGGTGTCTGAGATAAAGTATCGCCAGAATAATGAATTTTGTGTACTGGTTTTATTTTAATTTATAAAGGATTTCAAGGACATAACTAGTTAAACCCTCTTGAGGGCCTTGTTCCTTACCAAGCCAGTGCTTGAATAAATGCTGCAATGCATTTATATGCATGCCATTTAGAAATGGTACACTGTGTGCATATTTTGTAGGGTCTGGAATAAAATACACAAATAATCATGTTGCAACGCTTCTCTATATTCCTTCAAGATTAATGTGATTATTCCTCAAGAACATCAAAATCTTGGATCAATTGCTCACTTAGTTTATTCAGGTAAACAATTAAAATAAACTAGTGCACTATAGAGATATACCAGAAGCCCAAATCTGTTCAAATAAAAATGTTTTTCTGCTCGTTGATGACATTTCTATAACTATTATAAGATATGCATTATAATTAGAACTTGTAAGATATGCATTATAATTAGAACTTATATCTTAGAATGTATACTGACATTGCTTATACTTGATGTAATGTTAAAGATCTTTAAGGATGAAGCTTTATTTTTGTTATGAGAAACTTGACTTCCCTTATTTAAATTTTTTCGCTCCCCATGTCTAAATCTTCAAGTCAGCTTGAAGATGAAATATGTAAGCTTTAACCTGTTGCTTGCTGCTGGTGGTTTCCCATTTTGAATTACAACAACAATGGGCAACTCATAAACCAGGTGTAGTCCTTGGCTGATGGTCATGGTTTCAAGCAGACCTCTAGTTTTGACTTGCTTTCAGCACTACTTTTCAAGATAAATGAGAGGGATGGGGCGAGAAGAATTAATGAATGTATGCTAGCAAATGGATCTATGGGTTAGTGTGTGTAAATAAGTTCAGAAATAGTTTCCAACCCTGCAGTGAAAATTTCTTAATCTATTTATGAATAAATATATGAGGAATGCTTGTGGAGACATTAGAGTTGTTGAGGATGTGGAAGTATTTTACTTTTGTGTGCAGATGCTGTGGTTTAGTTGGCTGGGAAACTGAATGATTTGCAGTGAATGGTATGTAGATTCTATGATGCAATGGGAATATGGATCTGAAAACTGATATGTGTTTGACAGGTAAATTAGAGTGAATGATATTTTGTGTCTCCATTATCTTAAAGAGGTGGCTTGACTGTGAAATTGTATTAACCATATTATACAGTTTTGTAAAAATCTTTGAAAAAAAATTCTCCAAAGTTCCTTGAAATTTGAGTGTAGTATTTAACTGAAATAAAGAATGATGTCATCCTTAAAATGTTAAAATGGCATTGGGTCAAATCTAGTCATATAGAAAAATATCACAACATAGAGAGTTGTCCTGCTGGTCTATTGCAGCAAAAACTTTGTAGTACCTTAAAGACTAGAGACTGGCATCTCTTATTATGCCATCAACTTTTGTTGAATGGAGACCATTTCATTAGTGCATGAATGTAAAGATAAAGACTCCTGATGAGTATCTGAGCATATCTACTGTATATAGTTTTCCTGAAAAGGTTATAGAAGTGGTTTACCATAGCCTTCTTCCAATAGTTTCACTTCCTAATCTAGTCTATACCCCCGGGATTTTATGGCGGACTCCCATTCAAGTATGAATCAGATCTCTTCTACTTAGCTTTTTAGATGACAGTCTAGATGCTGTCATCTTCTGGGATTGTATGAAAAATAGCTGATTCAGCTAAACCTGAATTTCACAGATAATGGTAGTCATGAGAAAACAAAGCAAATCTGCTGAATCAAACATCCCTTCTTACTTTTCATAAATAAGATTGTGAAGGGAGGAACCAGGATTCAGCTTTCATTCATTTGTTCTTATGCTCACACATTTTTTCCTATCCTTCGCAATATTAAGGAGAAGCTCCTTCTGTGGGAAGCAGCAGACAAAAACGGGGCTGGCTTCACTACCATTGTTGCAGTTCTCCCCTTCAGTTCTTTCTGTCAGCTCACTGGAACCAAGTGCACTTGATCTGTGAATCTTTGGTGATGGTGCTAAAGCAGTTGTCATATTATTCCATAACAGGGCGATTGTCCCCAGACCTTGGACCAGAAGGGTAAGGCAGTGATGCATTTAGCCCGTATGATGCCATTCTGTAGTGCTGGAAAATTACATGGGTTCTGGCAATTGCTAAAATCGACTTCCACTTTACAAAATGACAACTACAATCAGTGTGCCTTCTATGTTTGGCATTCCTGAGAAGAACAAGTTCTGTATCTTTCCAAGAGTTTGGTACATTGTGATAGACAAATGTCTGAATGATTTACTTTCCATCTATGTTCTTAGCTAAGTGATGGTATGTATATAATGAGTCTGTATATGTCTCTGTGCATGTATGTATCGTCAATGTAGGAGAGAAGTCTTAGAAATAGCTCACTGAGTTTTTCAATAGATTTTTATATTGTTTCAATAAGGCATAATATAATCCATGAGGTACACCCAGTTCTCAAAATCTCTTTCAGAGCTGTAAAAAATGTTCAAGGCCGCACAGTTGCATTTGCAGCATAATACTTTTGCAGTGCAATCACCTCCATTGCAAACTTGGGTCAATCTTAATTTCATATTTCAGATACTTGGCTCTGACCCTTTCTTTTGCCACATACACATACACACACACACCATTTTCTAGTTATTTGATCTGAAAATAACCTATAGTGGACTTGTAAACAAGCCACCCATTCCAGACATGGAAATCCTATTAGTGGTAAATGATGAAGTTGTTAATGCTTCACTGCCTTCAGCTGCAGCATCTCATTGAATGGGGATTTGTATCTTGCTAAAACTGCCCATGTGAATATTTTAGCTGAACAGAACTCAGTGGAGTATTGCCTTAAAAAATGTACCATTTTTAGTAAAACAAAAGAAGTGTATATTGTAAAAATGTGTTTTTCCTTTTCTTTTTTGACTATCAACAAGTGATAGGACAAGTTTCTAATGGTAGTACTGAAGATGGAGAAACTATTCTTCAAAACCCAATTGTTTGGGGGGGGGGTTCTCCTCTCTCTCTCTCTCTCTCCTTTCTCTTTTTTCTTCAGCTATTCTAATCAAATCACTGTTGTTCTTTAATCCTAGGTCTGTGTGCTGGAGAGACAGATATTTGATTTCCTTGGTTATCAGTGGGCACCAATCCTGGCAAATTTTGTACACATTATTATAGTCATACTTGGCCTATTTGGAACCATCCAGTATAGACCTCGCTACATAACAGGAGTAAGTACCATTAATCTTGTATGCTTACAAGTGTACCTGCTATATGTTGTAAAAATTAAAATACATTAAGTCAATCTGTGTAGTTTGGGAGACATCTGTATGTGTAATTTCTGTGGTCAAGAAGGTCAAGATTAAATATATCCAGAAAATATAGCAAACTGTTCAGAGATCACTGTATTTTTTAAAAGGTATGTTAGCAGGATTTAAATAATGTCATGTTGAAATACTGGAGTCTTTCCATTTCTGAAAAGTTAAGCTATTTATGTTATTTCATAACACAATCTGGTCCTCTCTTTTATCGTCTTCCTAAAAGAACTAAACATGAAAAACACAAATAACTATGCAATCTTGCAGAAGTTGCCCATAATAAATTTTGAAGGCCGGAATGGGTTAGTGGCAGAGAGAAAGAGATACTTGGATCCAGGCCCTAGCTCAGTGTGATGCTTAAGACACTAAGCATAAAATTGTAACCTTAAAACTATTCATGATAGTGACAAATCTAATTCAGAGCTGAACTCAAATAGGAATCAAAGCTGAAGAATATTCAAAGGAAGATGAAGGTGAAAAGGAATGCAATAAAAAAAGCTCTTAAAGAATAATACATGATGTCTGGCCAACAAAGATGGCATTTCCCTAGATGACAGAGTCAGACCTTAGTTTATTTACTGCTTGGGGTACCAGATTGGATGGCTTCTTTTAGCTTTTCAACATCTGCTGAAAAACATTATCTATAAGGATCCATGATAACAGCAGGTTAAGTTCCTCTGCTGGAACTTAGCAATTGCTATTTCAACTCTATCAGCAACTTTGATGATTCAGAGTTATTATGAAGATAATACTTCATAATAATGCAGCTGTAGTTATACCACAGATTTCTGAACTGGGTAACTGCTACTGAGTGCCCAGAAAGCAAGAGGACTTTATTTATTTAATTAAATTTATTATAGCTGCCCACTCCAGCAGACTCTGGGCAGTTTACAAAATATAATATTAAATTAAAGCAGTTAAAAACATATCTCTGGGGAGATGCTGTTCCAGAGGATGGGGGCCGCAACAAGAAGTCATGCTTCCTAGGTTCCACAGGTTGGCAACATGTAATAGAAGAGTCCTGGAATGTACCCACTCTGCCCAAACGTACTGGGTGGGCAGAAACAATAGGAGAAAAGTGGTCCTCAGATAACCAGGTCATGAAGAGCTTCAAAGGTAAGAACCAGCACCTTGAATTGCATCTGGAAGCCAACTGGCAGCCAATGCAGTTCACATAGCAGTGGTGACTCAAGGACACAACAAGAAGTGCCCATTACGGCTTGTGCCACTGCATTCTGAACCAGCTACAGCTTCAGGATGGTCTTCAAGGCAGCCCCATGTAAAGTACATTCCAGTAGTTCAATTGTAAGGTGACCAGGGCATGAGTAACCATCTACAGGACCTCCCGGTTGAGGAGAGAGTGCCTGGTGCACAAGATGTACCTGTGCAAAGGCCCTTCTGGCTGCAGCTGCCACCTGCTTCCTCTTCAATTGTGCACAAATCTTGAGTGGGGAACTGCAAACCCATCCAAGATCATTCCCAACCCAGGAGGGCCAAACAGCCAAAGCCATTCAGTCTTGTCAGGATTGAGCTGAACTCTATTCCTCTCCTTCAAGACCCAAACAGTCTCCAGACAATGGATCAGTACCTCAATAGTTTCACTTGCACAGCCCAAGGTAGAGGTGTAAGGTTGGGTACTATCTGCATATTGATGATACCAAATCCTGAACCAACAGATGACCTCACCTAGCAGTTTCATGTAGATGTAAACCAGGAAGGGGGAGAGCATTTCACACAAGGGCACAAGGAGGGTCCAGGAGCACAATCTCTCCTCTCCCATCAACACCATCTGGAATTGACCACTGAGGAAGGAGGTAAACAACTGCAACACAGTGCCTCTCACTTCCAACCCCCACAGTTGGTTCAGAAGGATACCATGGTTGATGGTATCAAAAAATGCTGAGAGATCAAGGAGCATAAGGATAAATGCACCACTCCCATCCTGGCTCCACAATAAGCACAGACAAAGCTATCACCGTAGTATATCCTAGTCTGCAGCCCAACTGAATTGGATCCAGTTGACTTCCCTTCAGTTGACTTCCCTTTAGTGCATAGCAAACCTGGTTGTAAATTATTTCCCCCATGTGTAGCCTGTTTTTTTTAGTATGCCTTTCCAGTTCTCAGATTAAAGACAGTTTCAGGGCTGGTTGAAATGTATTTACAGTGGGGCAAAAAAGTATTTAGTCAGCCACCAATTGTGCAAGTTCTCCCACTTAAAAAGATGAGAGAGGCCTGTAATTTTCATCATAGGTATACCTCAACTATGGGCCTGTAATTTTCATCATAGGTATACCTCAACTATGGGCCTGTAATTTTCATCATAGGTATACCTCAACTATGGGCCTGTAATTTTCATCATAGGTATACCTCAACTATGGGCCTGTAATTTTCATCATAGGTATACCTCAACTATGGGCCTGTAATTTTCATCATAGGTATACCTCAACTATGGGCCTGTAATTTTCATCATAGGTATACCTCAACTATGGGCCTGTAATTTTCATCATAGGTATACCTCAACTATGGGCCTGTAATTTTCATCATAGGTATACCTCAACTATGGGCCTGTAATTTTCATCATAGGTATACCTCAACTATGGGCCTGTAATTTTCATCATAGGTATACCTCAACTATGGGCCTGTAATTTTCATCATAGGTATACCTCAACTATGGGCCTGTAATTTTCATCATAGGTATACCTCAACTATGGGCCTGTAATTTTCATCATAGGTATACCTCAACTATGGGCCTGTAATTTTCATCATAGGTATACCTCAACTATGAGAGACAAAATGGGGAAAAAAATCCAGAAAATCACATTGTCTGATTTTTAAAGAATTTATTTGCAAATCATGGTGGAAAATAAGTATTTGGTCACCTACAAACAAGCAAGATGATAGTTGAGGTATACCTATGATGAAAATTACAGGCCTCTCTCATCTTTTTAAGTGGGAGAACTTGCACAACTGGTGGCTGACTAAATACTTTTTTGCCCCTCTATACCTTCTGCATATGAAGGGGAAGAGGGATCATGAACATGACCAGTTGAAGAGTATTTGCCTTATCTTACGGCTTACCAGACAGTCATGGGTATCCTGTTTGCACAGAAGCCATGTTTGAAAATCCAACATGTCTTCATCAAAAAACATCATCAACATTCAACATATATTTTGAGAATAGCTGATATAAATTGGAATGTTATGGACAGGTTCTCTTCGAATATTATGCTTCTTGTGGATATTCATTTGTTGCTTAGTCAGGGTTGCTTCTAAAGGGCAAAACATATTTCATTACCACAAAGCACTATGAAGTTTTAGTTTAGAAGTAAAGTCTTCATTTGGTTCTGGTTATGGTCTCACTAAACTTAGCTTAGCTAATTGCAATAGTTAAGAGTTACTTCCTCAAGATTCTCTATCCACAATGGTTTGATTTGAATTGTCCACTTAATAAACACATTTTTCATAATAAAACTGGTACGATAGAATATCCTATCACAGTAAGTATTTTTCCAAACCAGTTTATTTAACTATACTGTGTAGTTTATACTATCCTAGAAGAATTTCTGTAGCTTTACCACCATCGACATCCCTGCCAGTACTATAGATTTTTTTCCTACATACATCAATTTGACAAACAAGCCAGGTGTCTACTCCTTTGCTTTATGTCTGCAAGACTCCTGTCTTGTGTTACTTCTTATACTTAGCATTCTCCTCAGTTGAACTCCAGGTCTGAAACACTCCTCCACCAAACATATTATTTCTTCATAGAATCATTCTGAATTATTGACATTATTATAAAATATAATTCATGATTTTCATCCAAATTGTAGTAAAAGATGTCCTAACATACATGCAGCTTCTTTTCCTTCCTTCTGTTCGAGTAAGTCCTACAAAACAGCATCACTATGGCTGTTGGCTCTTGACATTTTTACAAGCAATCTCCTTCTGTACTAAATATATAGTCCTTTATACTGGATAAAGCACAGGTCAATGAAGTATGTGGGTGATTCACAGATTACAAGCATTGTCACACAAGGATAAAGAAATCATTCTCAAGCCCAGAAGGGCTTGTCTTTGATACTCTGTCTTTGCCAAATATAATGGTAGGAAGATCCATGCAGCAAATCTACTCTCCTAATTTACATAATAATCCTTGGATGTTCTGAGTCTCTCTGTTCACTGCTGGAAGTAGTATAGATGCCAGCCTGATGCTCATGTGGATTAAAATTAACATGTCAGAGGAATGACACTGAAATAGCAACTTCCATTCCTGATGTATACATGTTAATTAGAACACATTTACAGAGCATTCTTGTCTATATGTTTTGGGAATGCTAAGTATGGACACGCTTGGCATGGAGTTAGACCTGCTTCAGGCAATGTCATTCTGTCTCCAGGTTAAAAGGGGCACTTGAAAAGGATAGTTTTCTTGGCACAGACAGACTACTTTTTCTGCTTACATTGGTTTACAAATTGGTTGTCTCTTCATGGCCTTTTCTATCTCTGGCATACTTACCCGGTAACGCAGTCTGGAAGCATTGCTTGGAAGCCAGTCTACTAGAGAACATTAACTATTTTTTCCCTAACTCCCCAATATATGAAAATTTGATTGCAAATTTGTCCTTCCAGTAGAACAGGACCTTCATACTCCCATACCACCCTTCATATCCAGAGGGTTATAGAACTTTCCAGGATAATTTGTATTTCCACAGATGGAAAAGAAGGAGACCTATGGGAATTTCTGTAAATACGAATGGAAGAGTACTCATATAATATTGAATATAGTCCTATGCTTTGAAATGTTCAAATTATTTTATAAATACTTGAGTCTGTAATAGTTACCTTGAGATAGAACTTCAATTTATTTACAGGCTGGTCTTACAGATCCTATTTCAAAAAAACAGTAAGACAAC